AAAAAAGAAATTACAAAAAAAAAAAAAAAAAAAAAAGAAGAAAGGGAAAAAAAGGTAGTTGCCGAAGGACACTGGAGTAATTGGCTGAAAATTTTAATAGTATGATTTTTGAAATTTCAAACTTTATTTTCTTAATTTTGAAATTGATCCTATGTAATATTCGTCCTGCCTGATTAGATCACAGATTTAATAGAATTCGTCACAGGTCACAATATGTACATGTCACAAATCCAATGAAAATGGTCAAAAGTCATTTATCAAAAAAATTGAAACAATGTGCAGTGTCATTTGTTGGAACAATCGCCTAAATCGTTGTCGGAATATTTTCCGGCGAAAAATTTGTCGCCAGAATCGAGGTGGGTCGTCGGAGCGATCACCGAAATTCTTGTCGGAGGTGAGGCGGGTCGCTAGAATTCTGGCTGGAGCGATCGCCGGAGCAGGTTGTCGGAGGTAGGTTGGGTCGCCGGAGTTGAGGTTGGGTTGAGAGAGAGAGAATTGTTTGAATTTAAAATTTAGTATGATAAATTATTTGGGGTGGGGTGGGAGAGAGAGAAGATTAATTATATTATAATTAAATATTTAATAAATTTAATTAGAGTAAATTAATTATATTATAATTAAATATTTAATAAATTTAATTATCACCTTATTTTTGAAAGATTTTTAGATGTTTGTTAGTTGTGAAATGTGATTTTTAAATGTAGGATTTGTGTGGTGTTCCCATTATGCTTTGTGGGATTTTTAATTGGACCAAACAAATGTAGTGGTTTAATTGGATTGGAATAAACAAGTGAACTTGGATTCTAGGAAAAAAAAACCCGGTTGCTTTGGGACTCTGTGAACATAAAACAAGTGGGCTTAAATTGTTTTACATATAGACATGCAGAGAGGCAAGGAGAAAAGGCAAAAAATTGTGGTTGATTTTGGGTAGTTCCTTGAGAGAGAGAGAGAGAGAGAGAGAGAGAGAGTGTGTATATATATATATATATATATATATATATGTATGTATGTATGTATGTAAACACACGGAAAAAAAGGGAGAAAAGTCGACAGTTCATTGAAAAAAGTTGAGGGATATCATACACTCAGATAGGGGAGGGGAAAATTGCATAACAGTCGGCAGTTGTTGGAGGAAAAAAGAGGCAGCAATTGATAAACACTAAAAACGGCGGCTACTTCTGGGGGAAAAAAAAAAAGAATTGAGGGGTTATCCATTTAAACAATTCGGCGGCTGCATGGGAGCAAGCTTTTGGTGATATATACATGCAAACAAAGTTGGTGGCTGGAACGATAAAAAGGAATTGAATTGAATGGTATATGTACACACACACACAAAACAGTAGCTTTAATTGTGAAATTAATCATGCTTCGTGGATTTTTGATTATATCTTTTATCCCTTCTTTACTTAATTCTAACATTATCCTTGGCTAAATTATTTTTTGCTAGGATGGGATGAACTTTTGTGATGAAGTTTTTGGTTTAAATAATTAAATTGACGTTAGTTTGCTTGAATGTTTGGATGTCTATCATTGATTAGTTTGCTTTTCAATTAATTAGCCATTAGTTGAATTGTTTGTGTATTTTATTATTATTGAGAGAGATAATAGGATCATTAGTACGTAGTGATAAACGTTATAAAGTTCGATAGAGGATAGAAATACACCTCTATGCTTCACATGATTTTTATATATGTTCTAACTCGTTTAATGCTTTCTTGCACGTTCGTATTTTTCATAGATATATAGAAAGGTCGTGTGTAGGATTAAATTTATTGCTGTCGAGAGAAGCTTTTAAATAAAACAGGAACATTGACTAACAATAGTGATTTCAATTTGTCATTTTAAATTGTTGAACTAAAAATGGATTAGTAAGAGGGATTCTACATCTTAGCAATACATTTTACAAATTTGATTAACTTTTACTTTGCTTTAAATTTAGCTATAAAATTAGACATTGATTTTACTACAACTATAATTTGCTATTTGATTAAGGGTACCAATACCCATAACTCGATCAAATACATAATTCTCGTGGGTTCGACACATAATTCACCATTATATTACTTGCTTACGATCCAGTCCACTCATGGGAAATCAAACGATCAAGTTTTTGGATTGCCGGCCGGGTTGTCCAACTAACTCAAGATCACTAGATACCAGTGAGAGCTTGTCAATTGCTTGTCACAAGAGCAACCAAAGTTTTAAGGCTATCTTGTGCAAAATCAGGACATAACTGACGTCCTTATATGAAAGTTTAGGTGCGCAAAATTAGCATTGATTTCTCACCTAAATGTTGATTCGAGGACGTCAGTGCCACACTAAAATTAGGATATGGTTATAGTTCTTACTGAGATCATTCCCGAAGAAGCCCACACTGTAATGCTCCAGCCACTACCAGAGAAGTCACAGCATACTTGTCTTCGACTTTATCCCACTGCATAAATTAAGAACTCACACTGTCTTTACTACACGTAATCAACTAGTAAAGAGGTGAGATTAATCATGAGACGACTAAAAACCAAATTTTTATAGATTTTTTTAATTGTTTTAACAATGTCAGGAAGCTCAGCAGTTGCAACAACTTCAGCTTGTGCCTCACCATTTATTTGCTCTCTTTGAGGTGTTGAATCTGACTGCAAGTTGGTAATTGATTTTGTGCTTTAATTTCTTTTAGTCACTATGTGAGATTGCATTGCGTAAGAATTTGAATTTTTGTTGACATACCTTTGTGTTGCATTGATTATTCTGTTAGAATATTTAGACTTGACCTGTTTAAACATGCCCTTGATATTGAGATCTCGAATCCCACAAAACCCTTGGAATATAGGATGGTGTATAATGCAGCCTTAGGATTACTTTGTATGACTTATTGTACAGTTTGATTGTTTTGTTTTTTAAAAATATCTTCACATTTTGAAGTTGAAATTTTCAATTGGAAAGGAGAATTTTCAATTTAGCAACAAAAAATGAAGGAGATTTGGGTTCAACGAAATATTTCAAAAGTCATATATGGTGAATTTTCTACAAATTTGACAAAAGCACAAAAAATAAGAATAAGATGAACTTTTATAAACTTTAATTATTTTACGACTATCTGACACGATTTTGAAAGAAGTTGAAAGACTTGATTCCACTAAAGAACTTTGGAAAAGTTGGAGGACTTATATTTACTTAAGTCTACTCCTAATAAATTACATTTGCTCGAAAGATTTTTCATTTTAAAATGGATCCTTCAAACGATCTCGATTACAATCTAAATACTTTTAACAAGCTTGTTGAAGATATCGATGAGAATGCGTCCGAAATGTATAAGCCTATTATCTTGTTTGATTATATTCTTGAATCATATAGGGAGGTTAAGAATGCGATTAAGTATAGTAGGAACACTCTAGCACTTGAGATTGTCATTGATTCTCTTAAAAATAAAGAGATGGAGATTAAGACTGAAAAGATGATAAGAGGAGTGGTCAATTATATATGATGAGGAGTAGAATTCAGTTTAAGCAAATGAATTTGGGTAAAGCTTAAGACATTAGTGATTCGAATAGTAACTCAAGTGACGAGGGTGATAATAAGAAAGACAGATATTGGGACAAATCTAGTGATAAGCGGTTTTATAGCTG